AAGGTAAGGACTTAAGGATGAGCCTTGATGTAATCCTACAGTTATGGGAAAGCTTTCGGTTTGTCCTTCATGAGTTCTTACGGCGGTCTTTTGCTCCTTCATACATATCCTTTATAGCTTGGATATATGCTACTCGTACTCCTTTCTTCTCTAAAATCCTCCAAAGAATGTCTCTTGGGACCCTATCATACGCTTTTTCCAAATCTATAAAGACCATGTGTAAATCCTTTTTCCCATCTCTATATCTTTCCATCAATCTTCGTAAGAGATAGATTGCCTCCATGGTTGAGCGCCCTGGCATGAACCCGAATTGGTTGTCCGAAACCCGTGTCTCTTGCCTCAATCTATGCTCAATGACTCTCTCCCAGAGCTTCATTGTATGACTCATTAGCTTAATACCCCTATAGTTCATGCAATTTTGTACGTCGCCCTTATTCTTGTAGATAGGCACCAAAGTGCTCGTTCGCCACTCATTTGGCATCTTCTTCGTTTTCAAAATCCTATTGAAAAGGTCAGTGAGCCATGTTATACCTGTCTCTCCCAAAACTTTCCACACTTCGATTGGTATATCGTCTGGGCCTATTGCTTTTCTATGCTTCATCTTCTTCAAAGCTACAACCACTTCTTCCTTCCGGATTCGACGATAAAAGGAGTAGTTTCTACACTCTTCTGAGTTACTCAACTCCCCTAAAGAAGCACTCCTTTCATGTCCTTCATTGAAAAGATTATGAAAATAACCTCTCCATCTGATGTAAAGACAACAGAGTAAATCTTCGAAAACTTACCAACTTATTCATTTAAACTAAGGGAACATGAAAGGAAGACGGTTTCTTCTCCGAAGAGGAATCATTAAGATAATGATGTCATACATTGCCCTTCTAAGTTGAAATTAGCCCAATTGACCAACGTCACCAACCTATTTATCCATTTATACATGACCCAATTGACATTATTCGAAGTTCTCGTGGGATGAAACAAACTCAAAAGCTAAAGCATTGCCACCAGCAACCAGCCTAGACAATTATTTTAAGTTGGGAAAACAGGTCCCAAGATTTGGCTAACAATATTTCCATCGTGAAATCGATTGGAAATCAAACAAGTAACAAAACCAAGCTACGAGGAACGATAAAATCCAAAGAAACGCCGACAACTTTTATGCAAACCACAATACATCAATATCTACAAACTGAACTAAGAAACTGTAAACTCATATATCATCATCAATCATAAGTTCATAAAACACTAGATTAGAAATGCAAGTTAAAAGTGATTAAAACAAGATTATAACCTGGTTGGATCTCCATGGGCAGCTAACCAGGGCTCAACCATTGACGCCCCAAAAGAGTCCACGATATGCCGATGAGAATCGGTCTTCTTAAACTCCGTAACGCCCCCGAGAGCTCCCCTTCCACTTCCCATGGACTTACTACACTCAGCCAAATTGGCCTGCTTCCCAAGCCAGTTCAAAACCTTCAACCCGTCCTCAAACGCCGCAGGGTACCGATTCTCCGGAGCAAGACGATAACCCACGGCCAAAACGACGACGTCACATAGCTTCGCGATCCGCCTACAGAATATATCATTGGCCACCGAGTCGTTGCTCCCACTGACCCAACCGCCGCCGTGAAACTGCAACATGACCGGCAATTTTCGACCTGGCCTGGTCGAACTGGCCGGCGAGTAGCCTCTGTACACTCCCACGCCGGCGTTCGCCATCAAGTTCAATCCCTCCATGTCATTGCTGCACCCGTAACTGTTCCTCCTCTGCTCGCTTTTCGCCAAATTTGATACCGCCGGATTGCCATAGCTGTTGCGTCGAGAAGGGGTGGCCGGTAAATTGTTAAGGCTCTGGCGGGTCGGATCGTCCCGGTTGGGCTCTCTATTGAGATCGGATCGCTTCGGTAAATTGTTAACCCTAGGCTTGGGAGCGGGTTCGGGTTGGGTGAGGGCGGACTCGGGGAGGAAGATTCGGATCGAGAGAGAAGTGATGGGGTCGATGTGGATGTCCTTGGTGGCGACGCCGTCGTTGAATATAGGATTGGGGGCAGCGATGGTTTCTTCGGGTCGGGAGGTGACGCCAAACGGGTTGAACTCGTCGGGTTGGGTTTGGATCCGGTTCTGCAAACGGTGCTTCAAGAGGAACTTGAAGAACACGCTGTAGAGCTTCACAGCTACGCTTGGCATCTCTCTCTCTCTCTCTCTCTTTCTCTCTCTACAAATTGGGAGATTTGCAGAGACTGGAAAAATGAGAAATGGGGGGTGGGAATTTCTGGGTTGTTAGTGTAAATTCATGGCGGATTAAGGATTGAGATTAAGGGTTAATTAATCTCCCTGTGAAAATCGGATTCACATGGGATTAGGGTTTTTGTAATCTGAGAGAGAGAGAGCTTGAAATCTGAATTCTGATGGCTTCAATGGCGTGAGAGAGAGAGAGAGAGAGAGAGAGAGGAGCGAGAGAGGCAGGTGCGTAAAGGGCACACATGCAACTTTACGCTGTCTGTTTTGGCTTGTTCAAATTTTTTTCATTTTTTATTCACTTTTTATCCAAAATTATGAGATTGACATAACGTCTCATTTTGATCATTGATATTTAAAATCGATATAAGCAGTCTCTGCGTCTGCCCAACTTCAATTATTTGGTTATTTTGTGAAAAAAATCTTCGTTAAATTGAGAATTGCAACTGAACCTCTGTCCTTGAATTTGTGGTTTCTTTAATTTAACAGATAATCAAAATAATTGACGATGAACAATTTCAAAGATCAATTATACCGATTTTAAATCTTATGTAAGTAATGACAATCTCATGAACCATTTTAGTTTTTTAAAAAAAAAACATTTTTTATTTTCTAAATCTTTATGTTTTCCAATTTATTTTATTTTATTTGTTGAAAGAAGATTTTTTTATTCTAATTTACTTGTCTGAAAACAGAAAAAAAAATTATTAATTAGCAAGAGCAATTATCGTCTGTTTTTCATCTACGCTTCCAGGGAGGGACTCGCTGTAGGTTTGAGTTGTACGCGATACTTGCGCGAAACAAGTTTGATTGTGGAGTACAATTACATAAAGCGGGTGTTTGGTTTTTTTTTTTTTTAATTTATGGAAAATATATTTTATTCACACCTCAATATATAAGTAGATATTGAACAGTATAAAAGCTATTCAAAACTCAAACGTAATTATCAACAACTAAAATTACGTCTTTTAAAAAATAAAATAGAGCAAACAAAACAAATACAAACCAACATCATCAACTTCAATGAACAATACAATGGCAACCAAACCAAAGTAACAACTAGCTAGACATGTAGACTTAATCTGAAGGGCGCTGGAAAAACAACGATCAAAGCAAAACCAAGCGATGAGAAATGAAAAACTAGAATCTAGACCTGTCAGAAAGATTTGAATTTATATTTTAACGATTCCAATCTAAATTCGGATATTCTTTAAATTGGATTTAAAACCATTTTAAGTCTCGTGAATGGCGAATTCAATATCAGATTAGGATGTTCACTGTGTGGCTTAACCGAACTCCACTTTCCTTTAGTGTGGAATATTGATGTACTAAAAAAAAATCATTTCAAGTCCAATCCGATCTTCGTGCCTAATTTGGTGACACGTGATGAAGGTGTAGGATTGGTAAAATAGGGTTGCACGCAGGTAATCAAGCAGCAGATTGTGGGCGGGCGGCGGGTCTGCTTCGGGATGGGGACTGATACAAACATGAAACCAATTTCTTAATCACGTATTAAAAATTAATTAATTAACAAAAGAATCGTACTTTAATGATTAATAATTCACCTTAATTAATTATAAAATTAACTGTTCGCATTAATATTTGTACGGTTCTGAATTAACTAAGCCAATCACACTTATGATCTGTTTTAAAGCTGTTTATCTGTCAATTAGCATTTATTTAAGAATTTGCTGGTTAAACCAATTTTTTTAATAACTTAAAGTAAAAAAAAAAGAGTTTAATGAAGTCACTGGAAGAATTAAGATCATTAAAAATCTATATTTATTATTTTTGTGTGGGGAACTCGTTTGGAATTATTTTCAAATGAAAGCGTTTTTAATGAGCTTGCTTTTGAAACTAACTTTTAGTAAAAATGAAAATAAATTCTGAAAAAAAAAAAACTTAAATCCTTTGCTTCTTGTAGGAAGCACACCAAGTGCTTTTGAAATTCAAACACACTTTTATCAAAAACGTCTTCAGCCCTTTCAAAGACACTTCTAAATAAGCCCTTAATATATTGAATTGAATGGTGATTGAGTGCTACAACTTATGAGTAGTGCACTACCTATAAAAACATGATTTGGCATTAGTGCTCCAAAATAATCATCTCATCCTTCTCTTTAATGCATGACTAAAAAGTCAGTTTTGTAATTCTTTGAAATAAATATTTCAGAGCTCTAATAACAACTCATATACATTTTTGTTGCTTTCTGCTTTTAATATCGAAAGAGATTCAAAGTTTGATTCAATACACGATTGGTAAAAAGAAAATATTCACAAGTAAACAAATGGATAATCATGGTTGGACTATGAAAAAGAAGAGATAAGGACGGTGTCTCTCTCGCATTTCATAATCTACTCTTTTTCCCTCTTTCTGTGGGTCATTTGAAGGGTATATTCAATGAGTTACTGAGTACAAAAGAATAGGGACTGGTTTGGAAGCGTTTTGAAAGTGATTTTGATGAGCATGTTATTGAAACCAATTTTTAATAAGAACGGAAATGAACCTTAAAAAAGCCTTTTAAGTGTTTTCTAAATGAAACACATAACCGGTGCTTTTGGCCAGCACTTCAGGTACTTTCGGAACTCAAAATCATTTTCTCTGAAAGTGCTGCTTTCTGTCATCTTAAAAACAGTTTCAAACAAATCCTATATAGGAATATAATAATAGGATTATTCTGTCATCTCCTTTATTCAATTTGTCTCCAAGTGTATAGTTGGACAAATTAGTATGTCCTCATCAGCAACAGATAGACCATTACCGATTGGAATCAAACATGAATTATTGCTCAAAGTAGCTGCAAACAAGTTGGCCACATGAGGAAATTTCCCGCCCCCGAGATGTCAGGATGACGGTGTTTCAAACCAATCATGCACTGTCACCGCAACATTTCAGGTGCAAGTACATTTCTCTCATGATAGACGCGGACGAACTCCGGAATTTACGTGGTGCGGGATTATACATTTCATAAAAGCAACACAGTTTGATGGTGATGAATTGAGGATGATACATACAATACAAGTAATTGAAAAGATTGAGGAGAGCATGTCTATTAAACCAAAACCAAAAATATGTAACCACTGATATGTCAATTTCAAGCCTTTTTGTTACCTTTAGAACCCCGACGATGAAGGATCAGCATTTTACTCACCACACCCGCCGAGACCATGCTTGTGTGATGGCAGCAACACCCCCGTTGTTATTCTTCCACACCCAATCCGATATATACAGCCAACCAAAAGGGGGGCTAATCGTATTCCAGATTGAGCAGCCGTTCGTGTTCTCTGTGACTTGATCACCGGACAACCCAAATTTTTGCACGTAGGGGAGGAGCCAACAAGAAGGCTGATCAAACTTATACAGCAGTGTCAGTTTATCATCTGCAAAATAATTTGAACATCGAACTCACTGTAATCACATCACGGGGAATCTCAAACTTGCTAGCCAGAAGTTTTGCCGGAGGCTCCTCTGGGGGAAACAAGCACTGCTTCAGTGCTTGTAGCATTCTTTGCCGCAATCTCTTCCAAACGTTTCCAAGTGTTTTGACGCTTCAAACTTTTTACACTCGCTTGTGCTTCATCTTCCTGGAAGTTGAGCAAACATTCCTCAAAAAGCTCAGGGTCAATATCGGAGAAAATCTTACGGACATTTAGTGTCAGGCTCTGTACTGCCTGGTTCCAGTGGCTTCTTGCATTTTTCTCCAATGAAGGGAATATGATTGGCAGTAAGACATGGCGATTCTGTTTGATTAGGTTTGCAATGTGATCATTATTCCATAAGAACAGTGCTCTCTCTGCCACCTGCAAATTAAGCGCCAACAAGATATATGAGAGCGAGAGAGCTTAGAGCATACACTGTATCTCTACAAGGAAAATATCTATTTCTGTTCATTTCCATTCATTCGAAAATTAAAATACACTTTTTCTTCGAATATTAGGAAAGCTGTAGATCGTTAATAAATGACTTAGCTATGACCAGAAATGTCCTACTGAAATAGGAGGCAATACTAACCAATTCATTTTCTCCACAGGTTTCAATATATATAACTCCCGAACAGATTAAAATACTACAAGAAAATAACCCAAACCAGCAATTTACGATGTAAAGGTTTTAAATTTTGAAATTCCTCAGTTGCATCTTTACGAAGATATGTACCGATAAAGTACATCAAAATATCACTCTCTCCATCGTACAACAATTTCCAGATGGCATTAAAGAACATTGTATGCATAAATTTGAGATGCTTCAACAAAGGACACAAGCAACGCAAGCATTCTATAAAGCTCAGTAATTGACCACCCACAAGTTCACATAACTCAACTGACATACCGCTATTTCCCATCACTACGTCTTACATAATAAAGATTAAAACAGGACTCCACAAAAGAGAGGAAACTAGAAAGTAGAAAACAGATGAAAGGGGTGAATAACCTGAAAATGTGAACTGCTCAAGCAACGGCCAATCTGGCGAAACAGCGGTACCATACAGCGCTGAAACTCTGCAGGCTGAGTTGCCTCTAAAACTTCTTCCAGTTCACCCAAGAACATGACCTCCTTAGAACTATTTGTAATAGGCCAATATTTTAGTAAACCACGAATTATTGTATCAGCAAGTTTGCCGTCTTTCTCCACAAATTGAGTAATACAGTATGACAACTGCTGGTGGTACAAGGGTATGCATTTTGGTTTGTGAAGTGGAATAAGCACTCGAACAAGAAAGAGCTTGTGCTCTTCTTTCAGTGGCAGAGCAAAACCGTTTATTATACTTCCCAAAATCTCTAACAGCTCTGCAATCCCATTATGCTTTTCAGTTTCAAAAATAAAATTATAGAAGATGTTGTTGATTGCTTTCCTTATGAACGGGCGGTGCACCATAAATTTCCCATAGATGCGGTGCAGAACCGTTTTCAAGTAATCCCTCTCTCTGTGGTCCTCTGAATCGAAAAGACCTAACAACCTGAGAACAAAAGAGTGATCTATGTACCTCTTAGCCAACTTTGCATCCGTCTCAGGTGATGCCACAAACCTCAGGAAGAATTCATACACAACTTGCAAGTGCGGCCATGCTGGGTCCATCAAGGGCTCTTCCTCTTCTACGTCAAAGGCCTCTAATGCTTTGTTTTCAAGGGGAGGAGAACTGAGTGTTCTAAATAAATTTATGCACACCATCTTTACGATTTCTTGCACGACAGTTTCTGGGAATTTCCCATTAGCAGAAGCAATGTAATCCACAAGCTCTACCAATGTCTGTCGCTTTATCTCCTTTTCCTTGATGTTCTTCGTTGGGTCACTGAAGTCAAAGACAACACAACACAAGTTCAACTTTTTTATCAACAAATTCTGCTTCTCTGCATTCGGGACATCTTTGAAACTAGGCAATGCCTCATATGGAGAAGCCAATGAGTTCCCATTAAGCTTCGAATTCGCATTTACTCCAAAGTTCGGAGTAGAAGTAGCACTCGAAAAAGTAGTACTCGAGCTCGCATACTTGTTACTTGATATAGAGTTGCCTCTTGAACCGGTGGAAGCATTTGAATTAGCGTTAGAGGACCCTCCCTCGCGATGCTCGGATGACTTGGGCTTCCTCGGGAGCCTATTAAGTATCTGTTTGATCATAACTCAATCGACAAAGGAAACCTCTTCTTTGTGCACTTCACAGCACAATATTATCAAACTACTTACTTGATCAAATCATCGAGCAAACACAGAAACATAAAACCACAGAAACATAAAACCAAAATTCGGCACAACGAAGAAAGAACCCGATCCTATAAACTTCTCATGTCTTTCCTTGGTAAAGACAGTGGCTTCCCCCAAATTACAAACAAACGATCCTACCCAATTGGGGAAATCTGCAGCAGAAGTATCAAACCCCCAACAAATGAGAACACAGCTGCATATAAAAATCCATTCGGAGCCGAAAATTAAACAGAATTCTAGAAATTTCAAATCTTTAATTAACTAAACAATGCAAAATCAACATTTTTGCTAAATTTCTAATCTCTGATCCATTAGCCAAAGCCAAAATTCAAACTTTTCTTAGGTAACAGTAAAACCTTGACTTTTTAACCAGAAACAATCTAACATCATAACCTATATCGGGAATCCCAGATGTAGATAACCTCAAAACAATCGAATTCGTGTTCTAAGATTAGAAAGTTTGACTTATGCAAAAACCCACATAAAAAAATGAAAAGAAAAAAATACAGAAAAATTGCCCCTTTTCGCCAAAATTGACAAGAAATTCAGCTGGATCATGACAGAACAAGATCCGGACATGATCTGAAAAACCCATTTGGCATTCTCCGACAGAGATTAAGATGCACAAATTAGAAAGCCAGAAAGTGGAAAGTTATTGCAGAGCTGGAAAAACATGCAATGAAGGTCAATTTTTGGAGAAATTAATGAATTGTTCGGAGATACTTACAGAGAGAGAAGGTCGGAGCTATTGGTTCTTGTCTTGTTTTTTCGGAGATGGAGAGAAATAGAGAAAAAAGGTGGGTGGGAGGGGTGTTGAAGAACAGCAATCCTTGGCGGCTGCAAGCAGTTGTTTTTGTTGGATGATTTTTCTTTCTAATTTTCAGATTAAAATTGCAATTATTATTATAATGATAATAATAAATAATAATATGGTTTGAGTACAACAGAAAAATAACCATGCTTAGAACATTATTGTGCTCGATTCTATGCTATATTTTATTTTTTTTAGAGCAAATGTGTCGTGTTTTTTGTTAGCTCCAAACACCTTGTATCTTTTCTTAGAGTCTCTTTCTAAGTTTTTTTTAATTCTTTTTCTACCCATTTTGTATTGAATTTGCGTCACACAGTCTCATTCTCTAATCGGAGTATATGTTAGTCTTTTGTCTATACGATCAAACAGAGAGATATTCGCCCCGGATATCTCCCTCCAAAGTTCAGGGATTAAGTAATCTGGGTCTTAAAAAATTGATCTAACGGTTAAAAATTATTATAACTTTTAAAAATTTTTACTAACCTCTCTATTTTTAGCTATTTAATCAAATTTTAAAGGTCTAGATCACTTGATTCCTGGGCTTTAAAGGAAAAAATCTGGAAGGGATCTCTTTCCATGTTCAAACCACCTTCACCATCGCATAGTCTCATTTTTTTTACTTTGTATTTAACTTATAATTCTGTGCGGATACCAAATTCGAACAAAAAAAAAAAGTATATCAGATAGTTGATAGTCTGCACTTCTGTTTTAGATGAATCTTTATAAATAATAATATTATGGTTTGATTGGAAAAACAAACAAAAAAAAATTCATTGTAAAATTAATATTATTAATAATTAATTTATTTATTTATTTGTTTTAACTTTGATGGGGAATTTCAATTTTAAACGTCAAAAACTTTTCATCCTTGCTTTCTCTCTCTCTTTGATTCACTCCAGATGACGAGAGTCGAGAGGTCCCATTTGACTAAAATAGCCTTCTAAATCTACCGCAAGTTTCGGTTGGAAAGAGTCGTTGGGGAGGAAAGTGAAAGGTTGAAATGGTAATTTAGTACTTGCATTTGCCAAAGCAGAATGAGATGTCGCTGTGCAGTGTACACTTTAACCGAGCGCCGAGGTCGAGGCTCCTTTGTTTCTCTTTCATGGGCTGGCATTGGGATAAATTGGAAAACAAGAAATTTCGGTAGGATTGTCTCTTTTTTAACAAATTATAGTTTATTTATTGGAAAATGGATCATTTTCGGATTCCTTATTTCTAATCTATCAAATTAGGGAATCCGGACCATTAAAAATTTAATCCAACGGTTGAAGTTATTATAACTTTGGGTCTCTGTTTGTAATCGTTGAATTAAATTTCAATGGCATGGATTCCTTGATTTGGTAGATTAAGAGGAAAAATGTAAAACGAGAAATTTCGATACGATTGTCTGTTTTTAACAAACAACTCATAGTTTATTTATTGGGAAATGGATCATTCCTGGATTCCTTCTTTCTAATCCATCAAATTAGGGGATCCGTATCATTGAAATTTAATCCAACGGTTGAAGTTATTATAACTTTTAAAGTGGGTCTATGTTTATAGTCATTTGATCAAATTTCAATAGCATGGATTCCCTGATTTAGTAGATTAAGAGGAAGGGATCCGGAGAGGATCCCTTTCCTATTTATTGAATTCTCGAACTTTTTCAGAAAAAAATGGTGTCGTACGATCCCTCTTAAGGACATGCTGGTAAAACACGTATATTAGAGTTAATTTGATTCATGACTTACTTTGTGTTTAGTTATATACATATAGTTTCAGAGTAAAAAATTAGAGAGTTTTAACGAAAAGTCCACGGTACTGTTCATTTTAACGAAAAACCATATTTTTTATACTAAAAAATCAAACATGATATTATTCACTTTACTCTTTATTTTATCTTTATCATTAAAACTCTAAATTTTCAAGTTATTTTCATTAGTTTTCCTAAAAAATTCCCCCCCCCCCTCCACATTACAATCTAAAATTCATATTTCAAAATTTCAAAATTCAAATTTCGAATGATTAGTGAGAGTAGTTGATTGTATTCGTATTTCTTTTTTTCCCATGCATTACTTTGCTAATTTCTGAGTACGTAAATATTCCACATAATTTTTATCATACAATATTCAACTTTAAACTAATTTAAACTACGAAAATAAAATTCAAACTCAAATGTGTATACAACGTTTATCAATATGACTACGTCCACGACTGCCAGCAGAAAAACTCAGTAGTTATCATAATTCATATGCGAAGCTCCTTTTTCGTTTTCTTCTGCAAGCCGATTTGTCTCGACTGGACTTAGGACTTCGCTTTGCGCCCCGTCAATAGGGCAACCATTTTCCTCCACAAATAAAATGCGAGATGACATGTATAAAAGGGAATGAGATCCAAATTGTCCAGAGTCCAAGGATCAGACAATCTGAACCACTCATTAAATTTGACGGTCATTAAAACTCATTCTGCTGGCTTACATCACACAAACCAATAATTATGATCTCTCTTTCATACAAACCAAGAACCCGGATTACTTTATCTTTAGACTCTGAACAGTAAGATTTCGGAGAGAGGCCAAACTCATATAAAAGGGCCAAAAAAAGGACAGAAAACTTAACTTTTGTGTAATCATTCATCATTTACTTGATTAAACAACGACATTTACCCACAATTCCATCATTTCAAAAGAAAAAATTACCCTACTAAAAGAATATTAACGTCAAAGAAAAAAGAAGAAGGTAAAATCCCTATTGTTCCAACAACAATTTAATCACATCTATGCCGTATCAGCAACTTACATTTAGGTCAGATTAATCATAGACATAAAAATCATACTAACAATCAATCTTGTCAGTTAACCGAAGCATGAAACTCGAAGATCGCTGCACAGTGTCTGGCTAAGCACACGCGCATAAGGCGCCACGTTGTAGTTTTCTAATCATCCATGGACAAAATCACACCAGGAACGCGCATAAGGCGCCACATTGTAGCTTACAATCGTCTTGGTTCCGAGCCATTGTCAAGCATGTACAACGGCACTGCTAGGAAAATTGGTTTCTTCCAAACAAACGAACTGCACTGCGTTGGACGGGGGGAAATGTACAAAACATCAAGGAAATGATACCGGCATGTCAAGTTGTCAACAGTAATTTGGGAAAGTGGAAAGTGTCCCGGGAAATGGAAACAAAACCATCGCAGTGACCAAATAGCTCTTCGACCAATAGGTCAGGTTGCTTAAAATTCAGTTTCAGTGCTCCATTAAGGCTGTTTCAGTTTCTGAAAGTGGTGCTGCAAAAGAGGGTCGAACAAATTCTCAGCGGGAAGAAAATATGACAGGCAAAAAAAAAAAGAATTGTAGTGTAAACGAAGCTAGAAAACTATAGCTCGACTAGATAGCATCCATATATTAATCACTGGTAAACAAATATAAATATATTTTGATCGGCCATGAGCGGTAGGTCTCGGGTTCGAGACTTGGGAGCAGCCTCTCCATAAATGGGGGTAAGGCTAGCCGACATTCACCTCTCCCAGACCCTGCGTAAAGCGGGAGCCTTGTGCACTGGGTACGACCTTTAATAAAAAAATTTGGCAACAGATGGAGCCAGCTAAGATACAAGCATACAAATGATTAATTTTCGACAACTTGATATTGACTTACAATTTAAAATTAGTGAAGTATGTTCTCACAGGAAACTAAAGACGTGCGTGTGTGTTAGTTGTGATAAAGCCAATCTTGCATGTATGATATAGGTCATGTGGTGATTGACCTCAAGGCTATAATGGCTATCCCCAAGGTTGAACGATATAAGGTACAAAACCTAGTGCCTGAACCAGTACAGATGACCATATACTTTGAATGACGAAAGCATTCAATAAAAAGATCGTACCCAGTGCACAAGGCTCCCGCTTTACGCAGGGTCTGGGAGAGGTGAATGTCGGCTAGCCTTACCCCCATTTATGGAGAGGCTACTCCCAAGTCTCGAACCCGAGACCTACCGCTCATGGGCGAAGGCACTTGCCATCGCACCAAGTGCGACCTCTGACGAAAGCATTCAATAATAAAATTAATTCATTTACTGATAGCAACGTTTACATATAAAAGCCAATATAACAGAACTAGTTGGTGACCAGGAAAACATACCAAGTAAGTCCTCATAATCTGCTAATAGTGATGAGTCCATTAGCAAAGGAGGTGAGAAAACCTGCTCCTGAGCTTCTTCGAAGTCATAAAATGATCTCTGTGTGTCTGAAACAGCACAGTTTGAACCAGCAGCCGAAAGAAACCCATTTACTTGGTCATAATCATCAAGTGAATCTAAACCATTCAATACTTCAGATAATTCAGCGTACTTGCTCCCCACATTACCATCATGAGCACGCTTTTCATGAAAGGAAGCCTCCGTCTGAGATGGAAACCTTTTACTCCTTAGTGAAGCCCCTTTAGATTCTTGGCCTAGACGAGAAAACCCAGATGGTGAAAGAGGTAAAAAGAAATGCTCAGAGCTTTCATCAGAATGGCTGCCTTGTGATGATTTGGAACTTAAGGAGTTCCGTGACAGAGCAGCTTCTCTAACAGATCTCTTTAGATTCTGGACATAATAATTGTCACTATCTGCACAACATAAAACTAAAAATCAGAGTCCTTTTCAACAAAGCTGTTCATCCACCGATAATCCGCATATAAAATGAAATGCCTCGAGCAAGCGGATACGCTTATAACACAATGAGAATTGGAGGAGTCATGCACAGATAAATGACCTTGTTGTAGATTATCTAAGTGATTATTTGAAAGAGGCTGCTCCACAGACTTCCTTTCAGGAAAGTTCTCTATTTGGTTTGATTGAGCAACTGAAGCAGGGCGCTTATGCATATTTGCACCTTTCCCAGAAGAATTAGGGGTCAAGTTAAACAACTGTGGGAGCTTTAAAGTAGGGCTGGATGACACCTTTTCGAGCTGAACGGTAGACAATTTTGAAGTCACCTCAGCCACATCATCAGTGTTGCTCTCCTGGATTGTTCGAAAGGAAATAAAGACAGGTTAAATCAATTCTACACTGCAATAATTCAAGTCTAGACATTTAGTA